CCTCTCCTTCCCCAGGCTGTGTGTGTGTCCATGGTGAGAACCCCAGGCAAGAGAAGCCGGCCCTGCTGAGGTGTTACCCATGGTTGCTCTCACACCAGTCCACAGAGAGAGAGAGGAGCCCAACGTCCAGTGTCTGGAAAGGTCAGAGTCACAGTTATCCTGGGATCTGGGAGAGGACTCGGCTCAACTGTGTGCTTCCGAGATCAGAATAGAAAGGAGAGCTGTGTATGTTCTGTCACAGCACAGTGACACTCTGCAGAGAAGTCCAAGACATTCTTGAATAGGAGCCAATGTAGCAGGGAAGTAAAATACACCTCGGGGTGGAACCAGGCAACGGGATCTACAGTATAGAGAGCTCCTGTTCCTGCCACTGGATCAGTTATCCCGAGTGCTACTGGGCAAGAACTGCAGATTAGACATCAAATTAACGCCAGCTTCATTTTGTACTGACTGCAGGGCAGAAACAGTGATGTCACAGGGCAGAGATTGAGACAAGGAAAGTCACGACATACCTGGCTCTTCTACTCTGGTGCAGTCACCACCTACAACCCCACTAACAGCCTCAGCTACTCCTCTCACTGAAATAAGAGTGCCTCAAAGTGCCACAAACCACATCACCAGTGAAAAATATGACTGGAGATGAGACTTCAGCTACCAGTGTCAGTCACTCTGAGCTGGTGTGACTCCTCTGCTCCCTGTTGCCAGCACGTGCAGTCTCTCCTACGAGCACCAGTACTGGTTTAATTCCACAGTGAGAGGAATTTAATTCCTGGGAGAATTAAGCCCCGAGAAGTTAGTTCTCACTACACAACTGGTAACACTGTCCTTGTCTCTCTCCTGGAAAAAGAAAATCCACCACCTTGTCTACCTGTTGCCCCTCTCCAGGGATACAGAGAGGCCACAGGGCTAGAAAGAGAAATGAAAAAAATAAAAAGAAATGTAAAAAAAATAGGTTTGTTTGGTTTTTTAAGAAGAAGGGCTTTGGAAGTGTAATTAAAAGCTGGACTCCAGTTGTGAAGGGGATGATGAAACAGTTTATTTACTGAAGTGTAGAACTGGAATACTCACTGCTGTATAAATAGACTGACCACCAAACGCTCCTGTGGTGGATTCAGGTCTCTCCTACGTTTTAGACCAGCGTGCTCTGAAGCCAGAGTTCAAACACTGGCCATAAAAGGTCTCTTATCTCTTGACATTTTTCACATTGAAAAAAAAAAAAAGGCTTTAGAGCCTGGAAATGGAGTACATTCCCTGTGCAAACACAACCAGCCATTTTCCCCTGGCACGTGCAGATAAGGCCAGTTCACAGCGCACTGCCTGGGTCAGGACACCCCCTGAAATCAAGCAGCGGGGCATTCAGTTCAGGGGAAGGGAAGGTGTTGGGCCAAGAGCTGTGAGAAGGGAGAGGAAACAGGGCAAGAATGGACCAGTTAGAATTAGTCCAGAGAAGGGCCACCAGGATGATGCGAGGGCTGGAGCTCCTCTCCTATGAGGACAGGCTGAGAGAGTTGGGGCTGTTCAGCCTGGAGAGGAGAAGGCTCCAGGGAGATCTTATAGTGGCCTCCCAGTACCTGAAGGGGCTACAAGAAAGCTGGGGAAGGACTTTTCATAAGGGCAGTTAATGACAAAACAAGGGGAAATGGGTTTAAGCTGAAAGAGGGGAGGTTTAGATGAGATATTAGGAAGAAGTTCTTCACTGTGAGGGTGGTCAGACACTGGAACAGGTTGCCCAAGGAAGTTGTGGATGCCCCCTCCCTGGAAGTGTTGAAGGCCAGGCTGGATGAGGCTTTGAGCAACCTGGTCTAGTGGAAGGTGTCCCTGCTGCTGGCAGGGGGGTTGGGACTGGATGAGCTTTAAGGTCCCTTCCAACCCAAACCATTCTATGATTCTATGAAGAATCACAGAAATTCAGGAAACTGAAGCAATTTCTACAGACCCTCACAAAGACCAGGAAAAAAAACCAAACAACCTTTTCTCACTGTAAGAAGTCTCTCTTGAGCACTGTGTGTTACAGCACAAACCATCTCAAAGACAGTTTAACGAGAATACAAGGGAGAAAGTACAAGAATTACTAAAAATTCTGCAGAGGAGATTCCTGTTTTGCTACAGAAGCTGCACAAAATTGAGCCACTTTCTCAGCCCAGACCCAGCCACTCATAACCACGTTGCTGGAGTGAATCACAGCTGTAACTAGACACAATAAATTATCTGGCTCACTTTTCCAGGCCAGCAGCAGGGCACCTCATACCTTTTTCCTTTTTTTTGAAGGATCATCAGCCATGCTGGTCTTTTTATCTCTTTCAAATCCTGCTGCTGCCACCTCCTCTTCCTCCTCTTCTGGAATGAGCCTATATTTGGTACCTCCAGGCTGCACAAAACACTCCTTGGCAAAATGACCTGTAAAAAAAATTTAAAAATAAAAAAAAGTGTTGGAAGGAGCAACCCACCCCTCATTCTATTAAATAAAAAAAATCAAAAAACCAAAACCCAACATTCATTTCAGACATCTAAAGTGCTGACAATGATCTTTTTATTATTACTCACAATAAGAAAATCTTACACTGTACATTTTTTTTTTTTATCCCAGCATTTCAGCTGGTTTAACAAGTCCTGATTAAACAACCCAGGGCATTCTGGAAAGATTAGTCAGGCAAAAAACTAAAACCCTCTTGTCTGAACAGAGAAATTGGTAGAAACGTGTCTGCACAAGGGCTCAAACAGCAGGGAAAAGTGTACGGGAAAGGGAGTAAACTGGTGTGATGGGCACCTGGTAAATGAGACCAAAACCACAACCACAGAGGAATCAGCTCATTCTGGTTCTACCCTTTCTACTCTGGAGACATCAAAGTTGACTTACTAACAGTTGTAGTGGAAACTGCAGGTAGATAGTATCTGCCTGCCTGGTATGAGTAAACATCATCAGTAAAAAGCAGACTGGAAATACACAGAATTCAGTTTAAGGTTTTGGAGGTTCTTTAAAATGGTATTTTAAAGATATTTTAAAGTATTTTAAAGATCACTTTAAAATGGTATTTTAAAGCTAGTTACCTACCACTACAGAGAACCATATTCATGATTAACCTTCTCCAGACTAGCATTAACTCCACCTGAACTCTTTACTCTATGGCTAAATAACATAAAACAAGTAGGGTACAGTGAAAAAGTCATGTAAAAAAACTACTTTATGCTTCAGCAACTTGTAAAAGCTACTGAAAAGGCATCACATAAGCCAACTTCCCATCCTGTACTAGGCAAAAGGAAAAAAAAAAGGCTTGGGGTGCTGACAAGAAGCTCAACAGGAGCCGGCAACGTGCGCTGGCAGCCCAGAGGCCAATAACCGTGTCCTGGGCTGCACCCAGAGCAGCGTGGGCAGCAGGTCAAGGGAGGGGATTCTGCCCCTCTGCTCCGCTCTCCTCAGACCCCACCTGCAGTGCTGCCTCCAGTGCTGGGGCCACCAACAGCAGAAGGACATGGAGCTACTGGAGCCAGTGCAGAGGAGGCCACCAGGATGATCCAAGGGCTGGAGCAGCTCTGCTGTGAGGACAGGCTGAGAGAGTTGGGGCTGTTCAGCCTGGAGAAGAGAAGGCTCCGGGGAGACTTTACTGCACCTTTCAGTACTTGAAGGGTCTTACAAGAAAGATGGGGACAGACTTTTTATCAGGGCCTGCAGTGACAGGACAAGGGGTGATGTTTAGTTTTAGTTTTAATTTAGTTTTAAACTAAAAGAGGGGGGATTCAGACTGGATAGAAGGAAGAAATGTTTTACACTGAGGGTGGTGAGACACTGGAACAGGTTGCCCAGAGAGGTGGGAGAAGCCCCATCCCTGGAAACATTCAAGGTCAGGCTGGACGGGGCTCTGAGCAACCTGATCTGGTTGAAGATGTCCCTGCTCACTGCAGGGGGTTGGACTAGGTGACCTTTAAAGTTCCCTTCCAACCCAAACCCATCTGTGATTCTATGACAAAAAAATTCACCAGGTTAATAAAGAAATTAAAAAAATGTCTGTTTTCAGCTGTGAGACAGATGCTCACACGCCAACACCGTGCTCCCAACAGCTGATCAGTAAAGTAACTCCTACTGATTGTTCTTCATAATGAAATGATCTGGTGAAGGCACATGTTTAGTCCTTAAAATGCAAAACTGGAATGAGACCACAGCTGTAAGACACACTGACACAAACACTGCAAGAGGGGAACCTGTACTGATGCTGTACTCAGTAGAAAGGTCCTTTATAAGGTCCTTTATTAGGTCCTTTACAAGAAGCTCAAAGGGATTTGATTTTAAGAAACAAGCCTCTGCAAAAGAGTTCAGCTAAGTCTTTCCTTTTTTAAAAAGGGACAGAAAAAGTCTTTCTCCTCTAAAAGAGACACGTGGAAGCAAAATCCAGTCCTTATACAGCAAAACATGAGACAGACGTCAGTACAGTCCTACCTGCAGGTCACTACCTGGTTAGAACAAGGCTACACCAACAGACAGCGCTGCAGGGACATACCTTTGCAGCCACACTTCTTGCAGACAGTGTTCAAGACGGCTTCAAGTGTGATCTTCTGACTCGAGTAGTCTCTGAACGTGCGTTTTCTCCTCTCATCTTGACTGGAAAGAGAAGGACAGTTCCATTTTAAATCCACTCTCACCTTTAACCCTGAATATTTATAGGGACAGCACCTAAACACAAGTTTTTTCATATGTTGCTCTAAAAGTATCACTTAAGTCAGGTAAACCACAGAACAGAGCTGAGCAGCTGCTCATTAGGATAAACCACATGGTTAATAGCACATTACCTGTCACCTTCTGCTGTTGAGATTAACTGAGCCCCCTCTACACAAAGCAGATAAACACAGGGAGCTACAGTTATGTCATAGAATCACAGACTGGTTTGGGTTGGAAGGGACCTTAAAGCTCATCCAGTTCCAACCCCCCTGCCAGCAGCAGGGACACCTTCCACTAGACCAGGTTGCTCAAAGCCTCATCCAACCTGGCCTTGAACACTTCCAGGGAGGAGCAGCCACAGCTTCTCTGCCCAACCTGGGACACTGTCTCACCACCCTCACACCAAAGAATTTCTCCCTCACATCTCATCTCCATCTCCCCTCTGCCAGTTTCAAGCCATCACCCCTTGTTCTGTCACTCCCTGCTCCTATAAAAAGTCCCCTCCCCAGCTTTCTTGTAGGCCCCTTCCAGGTACTGGGAGGCCACTATAAGATTCCCCCAGAGCTTTCTCTTCTCCAGGCTGAACAGCCCCAACTCTCTCAGCCTGTCCTCACAGCAGAGCTGCTCCAGCACATCCTTTATACTAACATTTGTATTTTGGATGTGAACACACACAGGTGTATGTATTTCCCAGTACGGAAAGAAAGCAATTTTATTTGACCTGCGAGAGACATCACAAAAAAAGGTTGACAAGGAAGCTCTGAAACATCCAAGCAGTTAAGATTTGATTCTGTAATATGTGAAAGTGAGATAAATGCCCAGCTGGAATGAACAGTCCTTCTAGTGAAAGCACACAGCCATCAAACACAGGACTGAGAATCCTGCTGCGGTATGAAGGGCTGGAACTCCCCACAGCCTCCACCAGCTCCTGCCTGCCTCTGTGCAGCAAAACCACGGGAGTGCCTTCAGCCAGCCCTCCAGCCAGCCAGTGCGTCACTGGGGGGCTCAGGAAGAGCTCCCCTTACCCTCCAAAAGGGGGGGAACCCAGAGAATAAGAAGGGTGGAAAGGCAGGAACACAAGGCAGGGAAAGGCAGCGACTTGTGTGCTCTGTTCTGTTCCACTCAAATTTACCTACTCAAGGGAAACATTGTTTGGATCGAGGTCTTTTCCAGTGCCTTGGTTAACAACCTTCATGGAGAGGGAAAGCTTCAGTTTGTCATCTTTCATCTGAAAGAGAAAGATATGGAATGAGAACAGTAAATGATGATGATGTTAATGGATACGTTGTGTCTGGAGGCCTACAGAGAAGGAAGGAAATTGTCAGGTAGCAGAGAGCAGCACAGAAGGCACCACATCAAAGTGCTTTTGCTCTATTATTTCCCAGCTGCATTTATATTTTCAAGTGTTGTAGCCAATAAACCAGCTGCTGGCAGGGGGGTTGGGACTGGATGATCTTTAAGGTCCCTTCCAACCCAAACCAGTCTGTGATTCTATGATTCTATTCTGATGAGCAGCTGTCTCTGTAATAAGATCAAACTCTAGATCTGCTCAGGTTAATACTCTGCTTTCGATATGACCAAACCCAAGTGTGTGTTTGGAAGCTTTGCTGTGATTCTCAAACCACCTACCCCCAAGGCAGTTCCCCCTGGATCAGAACTTTGGTCGACTTGCATCCTGAAAAAATAAAACTTTCTATCTTTTTTTTCCTATTTTGATCCTCTCAGGAGACTAAAAATGTTTTGAGTATCTCTATTAGGGGCTCACTCCTTTCTAAATCCTGGTAAGTCCTTAATTGCCACATTATCACTTGAGAAGCAAGAGCAGAAGTTGTAAGTTTGGGGGGTTTTTTAAGCCTTTTCTGCAACTTTTTGCATTTTCACCACTATTGAAGCTATTTCTCTTTTGTCTGTGACATCTACGTGGTTATTTGCAGGCAACCTAGCAATGAACTCTTACACTGTCCACCTCTCAGCACACTCCTGCCCCTCCCCTGTACAGCAAAGAAGCAGGAGCTCAACAACCCTGTTCCAGATAAAGCAAACAGCAGCTTAATAACAATTTATACAAAGAAAATTAAAAAAGCAAAGCATAGATGGTGAAGAAGAAGCGGTGAAGTCTTTCATATAATTTCCCTAAACTGTGTTAAGACAGAGCAAGTTTCTCAACTTTCTTCCCTGATCTCACACTAAATTAAATCCTTGTTTTGTGCATCAACCTGATTTATCTTCTTTCAAAAAAAGGACAAAGCATTTATGGCCAAAATCCTGCACAATTCCAAACTGAATGTTTCCACCTTGATCCCAACAAAATACAGTCAGCTTGCTTTGTCTTCCCCTCCCACCAAAACAGGAGTCTCTAGTTTTTCTTCCAAGTAATCATTAAATACAGACAATCTGCCTGTTGTCACATCTTCTGCAGAAGAAAAAAAAATGCAAATTGCAGGGAGAAAAAAAATATATAATGCTCTTGCTTCAAAACAAAACCAAAAAGCCTCTGTATTTTCTCTTGGGCATATTTCACAGCCACTGATACCTTCCTGAAAACAGAAACAAAAAATCTCAGCTGCTTCTAAGAGCGTGTCTGTCTCCCCAACAGTTAACTGAGCTGTGTTTGTATCGGCTGTTACCTCGGGATCCTCTCAAATTGGTGCTTTTATAGCCAAAGGTTTTATGAAATCCCTTTTTCTGAACTGCACCTTCGCTGCTCACGGAAGTTCAGCGCCCAAAGTCACACCTGGAGGTGAAGAGGATTCACCTGTGTGTAAAACAGAGGCACTGAGCCCCTGAGAGAGCGACAGGGACACAGCCTCTGTGCACAGAACATTCTCAGGTTGCTGTTTTTGCAGCGTATTTTCTCTACAAAGCACTAAAGAAACAAGAAGGAACCTCACCTCTTTTCCAATGAGCTTCACCCACACTTTGTCTCCAACGTCTACAATCTCTGAGGGTTTATCCACACGGCAGGAGGACATGTGAGTCTTGTGAACAAGGCCTGGTTGTGGAGAAGAAAAGGAAGAAGATAAAGAAATGTCTCTATTGAATCACAGTTTTGTCCTGTGGGACAGTGTTCTCCAAAGTGTGGTGGATGCAAGATAATCCTTTGGGGTATGGGAAGAGAATCTTTTTGTACTATTGATAAATAAAATAAATTAAAATTAATAGTGCTTATTTAATCTTTAGCTGATCCTGTTTAATGTCTGAGTGAGTCTTGTACTGTACATAGCATCAGGACAGCAGCACACGTAGATAATTTGTAAATACTTACACATTTATTAGGGGTGTGTGCTCAGAATTCTTTTAACTGAGTTAACTGAGTTTTAACTGATGACACACTGGGGGTGCACAATCAAAAACACCTGGAGAACATTGCTTTGGGAGACAGGGCACAGATTCATAGAATCCCAGGATTATTTCAGTTGGAAAAGACCTTTAAGATCATTGAATCCAACTGGAAACCTAACACTGCCAAGTCCACCACTAAACCACCTCCCTAAGCACCACATCAGCAGTTCCACAGAACTAACTATTTCTTTCCTCCAGTGCATCACGTAGGTGAGAATCAACGAGCTGCACCAAGCCAATATAGAAAAGCTCACCAAGATCTGCTCCAAATTAATTCAGAAGAGCAAGTCCCCAAAGCAACGTCTTTGTACTCAAAATGTACAATGATTGAGGCTACAAAGTTGATGAGGGGCCTGGAGCATCTTATGAGGAGAGGCTGAGAGAGCTGGGGCTGTTCAGCCTGGAGGAGAGCAGCCTGAGAGGGGATCTGATCAATGTCTGTAAATATCTGAAATGTGGGGGCCAAATGGATGGGGCCGGGCTCTTCTTGGTGGTGCCAGTGACAGGACAAGGGGCAATGGGCACAAACTGGAACACCAGAAGTTCCAGACAAACTGAAGGAAAAACTTCTTTACTCTGAGAGTGCCAGAGCCCTGGGACAGGCTGCCCAGAGAGGGTGTGGAGTCTCCATCTCTGGAGATGTTCAAAACCCACCTGGACACTTTCCTGTGCAACCTGCTCTGGGTGAACCTGCTTTGTCAGGGGGGTTGAGCTGGATGATCTCCTGAGGACCCTTCCAACCCCACCAGTCTGTGATTGTGTGAAAACACCGGGCACCAACACTCCTCCCTTCCTTGCTCTCTTCCGAGACAACTTCACGCATCAGCAGCACAATACTTTGCTGGCAAAGCCAGAACCCCACGGCTGCCCTGATCTCCTGTGCCCACGAGGTCACACAGCCCCAGAATTGTGCTTTTAACTGGCACAAGTGACATGTGGGCTACGGGGGTTATAGGAGGGAGGATAAATACAGCAGCACACCTTGCTGGGCCAGCTGGTACTTCAGGGCTCATTTGTGTCTCACAGCAACTTCCCTCCAGCAGCAGCTTCTGTCCAAAAACTTTTATGAGAGCTGGCACTGCAGGGACTCTCGGGGGGAGCACAGAGGGGTTGTTTCTGGGCCTCCCAGCACCTGACAGAACACCCACCTAAGCTGCTTCTTTAGGAAAGTGACTTTGTAGGTTTCTCACAAACATGGCTGGAGCTCTAAGTCAGCTTTTCCAGTTTAGTTTTTATTTCAGCTTCATCTCAGTCTTTTTTAAGTCATTTATATCGGCCATAAAATGAGCAAGTTGTGCAAACTATCTAATTATATAAAGTTTCTGTAGTTTGTCTTAAAACAACTTTTTGAAATATCACAGCATCACAGAATGTCAGGGATTGGAAGGGACCTCGAAAGATCATCCAGTCCAACCCCCCTGCCAGAGCAGGAACCTCAATGAGATCACACAGGAAGGTGTCCAGGCGGGTCTTGAATGTCTCCAGAGAAGGAGACTCCACAACCTCCCTGGGCAGCCTGTCCCAGGGCTCCCTGAAGTTACCAGAAAGTCCTCTGAGTATTTTTAGTATTCATGCAGACACACCATGACACTTCAAATACTTTCTGAGAATCTCAATTTCTCCCTATTTTTATAAAAAAAAAACCAAAACACCACAAAAGCCACCTTTTCTGAGCTGTTTCTAAAGCCAGTAAGTCTCTAATTCCAAGGAGAACTGCCTGGCTTGAGCACACCAACATGAAACTATAGCTGAGCAAAATGAAAGAAACAAACCTTGTCTCCTGCAGCCTGGAATTTTGATAAATGCCCCATATTCCATCACTGTAGCAACCTGTGGAGAAAATCAATACGAAACCTCAGGCAACGACCTTCACAAAACACCTGCGTGCAAACCACAGGTTACAACAGGCACAGAAAGCCTACACAGTTCTCCTGCTCTCACAGGATCATGGGATGGTTTAGGCTGGAAGGGACTTTAAAGATCATCT